AGTTACCTAAATCCTTTTATCAACTTTTCTTGAAATCGGCAGCTTTTCCATGGGGGCAGTAATTGGACTTCAACGTAAACAGCAGGGCGCCTGATTTCTCAATGCGTTCAAACAAACTTGTTGCACGTTGAGGACCAAAAAACGACTGCCAGTCCTTGCGGTCTAATGTGGCCACGACAGGCCCGAATTGCTTGTTATCTCCGATAATGAGAAATGACGCCTCGGGACATTTCGCCATGGGGATGAGAGACAATGACTCAGGCATTCTGGCGGCTTCATCAAGGACGATAAAGTTGTATCCGAGCCCAGTATGATTCTTGATCTGACCAAATGTAACCGGCGTACAGCAAAAGGCAGCGGTCAAACTGGCGGCGTGAATAAGCAGTTCGCGGGCATGCTGCTCATTATCAACACGGTTGAGGTTGAATGCCTCAGGGTCAGTGATCTTCTGGAGGTACGCATGCAGGTAATCGTTCCATTGGGCGGGATTCTCACGCGCAAGCCTCTTGGCATGTTCAGAAAGCGTAGTCGGATCCCGACAAGCCGATGACTTGTTGAACCTATCCTGGCAGCCTGGATCTGATGGCTGATGTAGTTTGCGAGATGTCTATCCTGTGAAGTCGCATGTGGATTGGATTCCGTGCTGATCAAGTCGGGTTCCCTGTCTGATTGAGAGAACAGATCATTCATCTCTTGCTTCCAGGGACGTGCCCGAAGTATAACAGCATCGGGTCGTTTCTGGGACATTCGTACTTGTGCGTCGTTGCAGAGTTGGTTCTCTGCCACAAGCCATGCGACTCTAGGGATAATAGGAGCGCCTACAGCCTCCTCCTGCTGATTCACCAGAGGTTCGGTTTCCCAAGCTTCAGGGAGTTGTGGGGGACTCTTTGCTGAGTTTAGCATCCTCTTCTTCAGTCCCCAGTCCTCTTGCTCCGCAGTGTCTCTTTCCAGGGTTTGTCCCGCCAAGCACCTAGTCTTTGGGAATAGTATCACCGAAACTCCCAGTAGGTAAGGGGGTTGAGCCAGTATCGAGATGTCCTATTTTGCTTTGACTCAAACTCCATAAGGGACCTGCTAGGGATAACTCGAACTTAGGAGCGTCTATTGCGACACATTGAAGGCACTTCCAATAGGTCGCTCTCTTTCGGGCCCCATCTCCCTCTCTGGATGAAACATATGATTCGGTGGCGGTCCAGCTGGTCGGGTCGGGTTCGATGAGCCTTGCAGGAATGACTCGCAGGCGGTGTTTCTTGTTTCTTTTTAGAGCGAGGGAGCTGGAAAATGAGGTGTAGTACTGTACCTCACCGGCTCACTCACAACGGGAATAATACCACTTCCAGGAGTGGACAAGAGTGGACAAGCCAGAATGTACTTGATCAAGGACTCGATGATGTGATGTCTCCTCAAAATGAGTATCTGAATAATTATCTTGAATTAAGATACTCCGTACGAAGTATCTCCCCCTTAATTAATGCAGAAACACGAAGTAGATACTCTTGGTAATCCCGTCAAGATGGCCATCAGCCTCCTGTGGCTTTGCTTGGTGCATCTCTCGTGGCGTCAAGTCACAGGGGGCACCCTTCAACCATCATGGGATCCGATCCCTGGTATTGCATATGACGATGTCCTCATCATTCACGTTGGGATCATCAACTTTCCATCACGGGCTTATCTTATCATCGCTGACTACCTACCTAACGGTCAGATTCAATTCCAAGTTCAAACGGCCGCAATCCGTTCCACCAGATACAGCGCCATAGGGGACCCCCGCATCGTTAGGCCAGTCGCTGGTAGAGCCCACTAGAGTTGGAATTGTCTGGCAGACCAGAGCCAAAGTCAAAGCCAAAGTCAAAGCCCACGCCAAACAACCTAAGCAAGCAGAGGTAGATCCAGAGGGGGATGGCCTCTTTAAGTAAGCCGCATCCCCACAAGGTTCGCATTTCCGGTGCATTACGCGGGCCATTTCTAGTATATATATTCTCTGGCATCTAGCTTCGGCGATATTGCAACCAGCACCCATTCACTCACTGCAATCTCATTACGGAAGTCTGTCGTAAGATTAGATACCGTCACAGTTACGCTCAAGCGAGCTCGCTATATCCTACCCATATAGTCGTAGCTTAGGCATTGCGAATCATTAACAGAGGGAATATCCTGACAATCTTTGCTAACATGGGCTTTCTCAAACCTGAAGTTGGCAAGGCCCGGAAGGTAAGGATTTATCTCAATCTTCAAATTGAACTCCAGTTAACTCGTACTCCAGCCAAAATTCGACCTTCACCTCAAGGTACATCCAGCCACTCTATGAGGAAACCTTGACTTATAATTCCTAGATTTACGACCTCAACAACGTGCCGCTCGTTTCTGGTCAGGCCTTTGTCAAATGGCACCTCTCTCACTCAATGACCGCGGAGCATCGCGGGCGCACGCAGAAATGCCCTATCGCCAACCACAGGGTTGAATGGGGCTTTGTCACCGCGATACCCTCTATCCGCATATCGATAGACCGCAATAACAACCTTACCGAATGTCCCATGGAGTTTGAGGTCATACAGGAATTTGGCTTGACAGAGAAGGTCACCCTTGGTATTGTTCGCCTTAACCTGAGTGAGTACGTGGAAGAGAGTGAGGCCTTCGTCAAGGATGTCGCATCGCCTGGTCGCATGCGTAGTAACAGTATGGGTGTCAGCCCGACGAGGGGTGGTACATCACGGCCGCGCCGTGATTCAGATGTTGTCGAGGATGGCATCGTGAGGAGATATCTCATGCAGGATAGCAAAGTCAACAGTACGCTGAAGATCAGTATCCTCATGATCCAGGTCGACGGCGAACGGAGTTATGTAGCTCCTCCTCTGAAAACGGCTCCCGTCTTTGGAGGAATTGGAGGCATCATGAGCGAGGCAATAGAGGATGACGCTGGGCGTAAGTTGAACTGGTTCGTTCCATATCATTCCGTGCCGCTGACAATATATAGCAATAGCTGCCGCGGTCCCCAACTTGTCTAAGCCTCGCGACGCCGCTGAGCTCCAAGACCTATACCGAAGCGTTCTCGCTGCTTCGTGGAGCCGGCAACCGAATGAGCACTCCGCTGAAGAAGTCATTGAGGACATTTTCAGCGGAGGCAACGGCTGGAAAACTAAACCTCATAATGCTTCGCCTGTCACTGACGGAGAAGACGATGACGACGACATGGGTCCACGTGATACCATCCGAGCCCGCGATACTCGCCGTATAACTCATAACCTCCTTCACCCCTATCACCATCATCACCACCACTCACACAGAACTGCCTCACCTTCGCACAACCACCAAAATAACGGCCCAGCTGGCTCCTCACATCGCCGCACACCAAGTAACTCGAGTGATAAGAGCTTCTCGACAGTTACAGTTACTCCGTCGAACCGACGCAAAGGTGTACGCATTCATGAGCACCACCTCGACCACGCGCGTAGCATGGCGAGCATGACGTCTACCATGACACTTGATAGCGACCCAATGCGCGAAGTGAGTTATAAAGGAACCCGCGAAGTTAGAGAGGATGATATGCGAAACGACCTCATAGCTTGGCGATTACCGGGTGATGGTAACCAGGTAATGTGAAGAGAGAGCCTAATTTGGACGTCGAAACTGAGCTTGTTCACGGCCTCGAAGAGGCGGCTGAAGTTCTTAATTGTTTAATGATGTTGCCTGGATGGCTTCCACCGAAATGGTTCGACATTATTCTTGTAAATGTTAAAAGTCTTGATTCAATTCATCCCTGACAAACCTCTATTGTGTCCTCTAGAATCTACCAATAATCCCGTGCTTTTTTGCATGCCAACCCCCCTTTATAAACCCACTCATAAAATCATTGCGGCTTTTCAATCAAAGTTCCTGCTTTTGAGTCCAGCACTTCCAGACTTAGATGTTTCCTCGCACACCACCCTTGCCGCCAACTTCCCGGGCTGTGACGGTGACGCCTAGATCAGCTAGAACGTTAATCGTGACTTCAACCTTGCCACCAGCCTTGACGCCCTTGATGGCGGCCTCGGCAAGAGGGTTGCCGATCTTCCAGATCTTCTCCCGAGTCTCCTCCTCCTCTTCATCAGAATCATCAAAATCGGAGTCGTCCTCATCCTTGTCTTCATTCTCCCCCTTAGCCTTAGGCTCAGGCTTGGTGATCTTGATGTGGGTGTTACCCTCAACAATCTTAATAAGAACATCGCCACCTTCCTTAGGAGTAGGAATATGGATAGTGCGACGGGCAGGGGCGGCGGTCTCAGGGGCAATGATGGGGGTGAAGACATCCTCGCCGTCAGCACCCACGGTAATAACACCAATAGCATTGGAGATGTGCTTGACAGTGGTGACAGCAGGGTGAGTGGACTGCTCGATATCGGCGGCCTCGTACTCTTGGATCAAAGAGGCCTGGAGGGCAGCACCGCGAGCAAGGAGCTCAGAAGGGTTGATCGCGGACACGCTCGTGGCGGGAGCCTGAATATCGGTAGTCTCAGGGAAGATACCACGGAGGTTGTTAGCAATACGAGGGGTGTGAGCAGTACCGCCTGACAGAATAACCTCGTCGATGTCAAGAACATCGAGACCGGCCTTCTTGACAACACCCTCAATGAGTCGGTTAAAGCCCTCGAAAACCTTGCGGGCAACCATCTCGTATCGTATCCTGTTGATAGTAACAGAGAAATCGAAACCATCCGCCAAGCTCTCGACACTGAACTGAGCGTTGCTTCCCAGGCTCAGAGCTCGCTTGGTAGCCTCAGACTCAAGGCGAAGCTTTGCAAGACTGCGAGTGTTGTTTCGGGGGTCGATGTTGTGCTTCTTTTGGAACTCCTTAGCAAAGTGTTCCATAAGAGCATTGTCCAGATGAACGCCAGCAAACTCGTAATCGTGAGCAGTGGCGAGGATAGTGTAGAGACCACCTCGCGAAGCAACGACGGCAACATCTGAGCGAGTGCCACCAAGGTCGGCAACAACAATAATCTTATCCTCGATCTTGGCCTCAGGACGGGCATCGTAAGCCAGAACGGCGGCGACAGGGTCAGAAATAAGCTGGAGGATCTCGATGTCGGCATCGTTGGCGGCCTTGATCAGGGCCTCTCGCTGCTTCTCGGTGAAGTTTGTGGGAACGGTAACAACGGCAGAGGTGACCTTCTTGCCCAGGTAGTCGGAGGCAGAACCCACAAGCCGTCGCAGGTATCGAGTAGTGGCCTCTGAAACAGAAACGGTTGAAGTCTCTTCCTCATTCTTGTCCTTGACGGAGAAGGCGACGTTGCCGGAGACATCCTTGGGGTGGGCGGAGGCGTGAGAGTGGGTAGGGTCGATGGACTTGAATCTGAAGGCATCTTGTCAGTGTCCTTAGTTCCAGAATTGGGACTGCGGCGGAAAGGTCGCGTACTCTTGGCCGAGGAAGTCTCGGAAGTTGGCGATGGTATTATCGGGGTTGCGAACGAGGAAGTTCTTGGCCTGTCCACCGTAGTACTCATCGCCGTCGACGTAAGACAGAACGGTGGGAATTTGTCGGTCTATCAAGCAGCTAGCAGTCAGCACGCGGCCTAGTGACAGTATCACGGGGCACAGCTCAAATCGATCTATAACATACCTCCATCCTCGTTGGCAATAACCTCGGCCTTGTCATCAACAGTATAGGCAATGGAACTGTTGGAGTTACCAAAGGTAATACCGATGGCAACTCGATCGCCAGGCTCAGGGCCCTTGGCTCCAGCGTTGTCACTCATTAGGTCGGTCGGAAGAGAGTTTTGTGAATGCGTATGGAAAGGAAGAGAAAGTCAGGACTCTGTGCCTCTGTCGAGTTAAGGTTCAGAGGTGTCAAGATTTTGGAGGGCGAGTGCGAGTTGGTGATGGATGTTAGTGGGGTTTCTTTTCTTTTCCCTCAGAGATTGGAAAAAAAACTGCCCGCTACCTAATCGCATCGCCCACATTTTTCTTGATCGGCCACTGGTACGTATTCACGTTATCGTTATCGGTTCTCCACATGCCGCCTTTGCTCATGGTTTTGAAGTTGTCTCATCGGGGTTCCGGATTTTTGCTGTTACATTTCGAACCATTAACTCTTCAAATTTCCCATCATGGCATCTGATGCGGTGTTCGTACTGCCAGGCGACATCATTGATCCGTCTCTTATTCCCTCACATCCTAAGAAGCCTCTCCGGCTCGGTCCTGGCCTACGACATGTGCCTCCCAACGACATCGTTCCCACAGTAGCTGGCCAGCTTGTAACTGATCGACAAAAGAATGCAATTCGTGTAGAGAATGCTCGAGGAAAGGTTCGCTTCTGAATTTACTCCAGGCCGTAGACCGTCGGCTAACCAATCGACAGTATACCCCTCGCGTCGGTGAGCTCGTCATCGGGACCGTCCAGCGCAGCGCCGCCGACTTATTCTATGTTACTCTCTCCGACTATACCGCGCCTGCTCTTCTACCACAACTTTCTTTCGAAGGCGCCACAAAGAAGACCCGTCCTCAGCTTACCGCGGGTGCACTGGTGTACGCACGGATTGCTCTCGCCAACCGCCACATGGACCCAGAGATCGAATGCGTATCTTCTTCAACAGGAAAATCCGAGGGTCTAGGCCCTTTAACAGGCGGAATGCTCTACACCGTGTCACTTGGAATGGCTCGACGTCTGATGATGCCCAAGAGTGTGCAGGAAGGCCGGGTTGTGGTGCTGGAAGAGCTCGGCAACGCGGGCCTTCAGTTTGAGACAGCTACAGGACGCAATGGCAAGTTCTGGGTTGACAGTGAGAATGTGAAAACGGTCATTGCTGTTGGGAGAGCAGTACTGGAGACTGATGAGAAGAGATTAGATGTCGAAGAACAGAAGAAGCTTGTCAGGAAAATCATCAAAGACCTAAGCTGAAGGAGCTGAAGGGGGCGAGCATGTGCCGGAAACCATGATGCCCAATAGCACTCTTTGTATTGGAATAGTTCGGTTGTACACTGTCGAATTAATAGATACCCAAGAACGAACACGCCCGGCTCGTCCGCTGTTAGACGAATATGCGTTTTCCCATAACCTAACGCCCGAATAGTCCTACATGTCCCAACATTGATTTTTATGCTGATTCCTTGACTTCTAATACCCAAATATGCCAACTTTGAACGAGTGTAAGAATCAAATCGCTATAATGAAAGAGGAAAGTAAGTAAACAGAGTGCCCAGCAAAGTGCTAAGGCTTGTCAGTCAGTGGCCGATATAGATGGCACATAGTACAATGCAGGATGCGGCGAGAATATCCCATATCTACAGCAGCAAATAAGACGAAGTCGCGAGTAGGTGTCCTTATGTGCCGCCCATCTCCTGGTCGACTTCCACAGGTTCTGGGAGGTCTCTCTGATCCACGTTGTGAATCTTTGTCATATGTCGTTTCCAGTTATCTTTGCGAGGGAATCCCTTTCCCCCCTGCCTTGAATAGTCGCAGCCTTGCACAGCGCAGTGGAACTTTTTCTTTCTCTCATGTCGATCATTGACATGCCGCTGGAGATGTGTCTTGGTCCCGAATCCCTTGCCACAGTTTGGATAAGGGCATTTGTGATCTTTCGTATGATATCGTTGATGATGCCTGTTGGGTTAATGAGCGAGTTGGATCAGTCAGGCAATGATAAACTTACTTGAGTTTGTGCGGCTGGTCGAACACCTGGTTACAGCCAGGCTCATCACATGCGTGTGAACCATTGCTTGGTGACGGGTTGCTCACAGTGTTTCCTGGTGACACACTATGTCGGTAGTCGGAAGATGTACCAGAGTGAGGTGAAGGGGTATCAAGCTGTGTCGCAGGTGTACTCAGCGATGATGGGTTGGTGAATGCCGGTCCAGGCAAGGGGGTAGACGCATCAGAGGGATAGCTGGGGTGTCGAATACTACTGTCGGGTAAAGGGCTCAAGTGGTTGGCCGTCGGAATTTCAGACATAGAGATATCCTGATTGTCATCGACCTCCTCCGTTTTAAACGCTATTTGACTCTGGGTCGGTGTAGGTGAGTGAACTATGGGCACAGGCTGGGGTTGAGGATCACTAGGAGGGAGGGTTAACGGCGACGGCGAGTCCACAGGTCCTTCATGCGTGGCAGGTCCTGCTGAGGGGGGCGGCTGGTTAGGTGAGGATTGCGATACATATAATTGGTAGTCGTTCCTATGCCATACTTCGGTTTCTGTCGATGCAGGCATGATATCCATGGGATTCACGGTACCAGGAGCGGGATGGCTAGGAGGGGATTGGGACGCGTTGAAGTTGAAAGTGGTTGGTGGGGAATCTGGGGGACTTTGCACAGCCCCCTTTGGCAGGGTAGATGGTAAAGCGATCGGGGAGCCCAATGCTTGGGTAGGCAAAGGTACCGGCAAAGAATCGGTCGCTGGAGCAGTCATGTCAGTAGGAGACTCGGTCGGTCGTCCTGCTGTAGTGATACGTTGAAAACTTCCATCCTGTGCTCTTGGTACGCTATCGAGGTTTTCAGCCAGGGATTGCGATGTTGGTGAGTTAAGAGACTGATCGCGCGTGCTCTTGCGACTAAACATATGTTTTAAATTATATCTCAAGGAGCTCCCACGCGACCATGAGCGTTCAGGCTGAGGTCGGGGCTCCTCAGTC